ACTGGAAGTGGCTTTGAGAACCAGAGAGGGGCCTCCAGCCAGTGACCTGTACAAGTTTCAGCTAGCATCCAGCAAGAGAAAGAATTTCTCAGTTCTGCAATCACAAGAAAGTTAATTCTCCCAACAGTCTGAGTGATCTTAGAAGAGGCTCCTTCTCCAGTTGAGCCTCAGATGAGACTGTAGCTCTGGCCAGCACCCTGACTGCCTTGTGAGACACCCCTGAGCAGAGTGCCCAGCTCAACCAACCTAGACTCCTAATTCACAGAAACAGAGATAATGAGCGTGTGTTGTTTTAAGTCACTAATATTGTGGTAGTATCGCTCCATAGCAATGAATAACTAACAAACAGCTCCTCAGTCTTTACCTTTCTTGACCTTGAAATTTTTGAAGCATGCAGGCCAGTTATTTTGCAGCATGTCCCTCAATCTAGGTATGTTTGTATGGAAAGCAGTCAATCTCATCCTCATGATTAGGTTCACAATTTTGACAGTAATGACATAAATGTAATGTTGTATCCTTCTCAGTATGTTCTAAAATGTGCATACTGTTGGTTTGTCCCAATATAAGTGATACTGAATCACTTAGTTAGAGTCTCTTTGTTGTAAAGATACTATTTGCCCATGGTAACTAATAAGAAACCTGCCAGGTGATACTTAAAGCTATGTAAATATCCCACCCATCATCACACTCCCATCAGTTACTTTTAATGACCATTAGTGATTTTCCTGGGCTTCCCTAGTGGCTCAGATAGTAAAAGAATCCGTCTGCTGTACAGAAAACCCAGGTTCAACCCCTGGGTCAAGAAGATCCCCTGGAGAAGGGAATGGCTACTCACTCCAGTATTCCTGCCTGGAGAATCCCATGGACAGAGGAGCCTGGTGGGCTACAGTCTATGGAGTCACAGAGTCGGAGATGACTGAGTGACTAACAACCTCTTTTCAATGATTTTGTAATTATATGATTCCTTTTATATTCATTTCATTGACATTCTGGAACATTCCTTTCTCTTCTGTTTATTTGCTTATCTAGTTACTTATTTATATCAGTATGGAATCACAGTTTATTTTAGTCAATGGTTTAAAATTTGTTACTTCCAATATATGTCAATATATATCAACATGTATTTTGATGTTCTAATTGGTTCAGATTTGTATTATACTTTGGAAGTCCTCTGTTCTGATATGCTGGCATTATTTTTAAGTCTTTCTTATATTCTGTCAAAACAAGATTTTCCAGGTATATTTTGCACTTTCCCTGTCACAGACCTGGAATCTTTTACAGAGACTCTTGGTTTCTTTTAAAGTGAAGAAAGATATGTTTAAACCAAAATCTGGGACTAAGTGTACTCTGCCACATGAATATCTTTGCTTCCAGTATTTCTCAGTGACAGTGGGATATATACTGAAATAAGTTTAACAAAATACATGTAAGGCATGTACACTAAAAACTTCAAGACACTGCTGGGAGAAATTTTGAAAGATTGAAGTAAATGGATAAATACATACATTAATAGATATAGGACTCAGTGTTATTAAGATGTTGATTATGAAGATGTCCACTGCTTAGCATTTCATAAGGGTGCAATCAGTTTATTGGCTGGAATTGTGGTTGTGGTCTCATTTGAGGCGTGACTGGGGAAATACCTGCTTTTGAGCTCACTTTAGTCTTAGTCTTGCAGTTATAACACCGAAGAATTAATTTTCTTGGTGGCTGGAGATCCTTGTAGGCTATCAGCTGGAGGCTGCCCACAGCTCTTAAAAGCTGCCTGCATTTCCTTGTCATGTGGGATTTCCCCACATCATGCACGCATGCACACACACACACACACACACACACACACACACACATTTAATTTGTAATCTCCAATTGCATTTCAACATTACAATGTAACTTCTAGGCTTCCCCTTCAACAATGAGGGACCTAGATCCTATTATATGTGCTAATATATTTACTCAGTTTTCTCAAGCTTAGAATATATAGGTTTGCTGTAAGAAAAAAGAAGATACTATGTAGTATTTGAAAGAAAAAAAAAGGCAGGAAAGATGTCATGACTTTTATAATCTGTGTTCTCTTTTGGAAAAGGAATTTGATCATCCATGGTTTTGTTTTTTTCTAGTTGTATGAACAAAACCTTTAGCAACAGAAATAAGTAAAAGTCATGCAAAACCTTGTAAGCCATGTTAGAGACTTCGGGTTTTATCCTAGTACAATGAGAATATAACAGGTTGGAGGGCTTTGTGTTAAGTCAGTGCAAGTTTTTTTAAGTAGCATTTACGTCATTTTCCAGGTTATTTCCTGGTAATGTTTATTATTTACTCATCCTTCAACTTATTCTAAAACAAGATTTGATATGCTTAGAGCAATCCATACCAATAAGTTAGAAAGAATGTATGTTAAAAAAAAATGGGGAAATTGGGATAAAGAATATAAGGAGCTGGAGAACAGATGCCAGGGTAAGGCCAGTTCAAAATATTCTTAACTTTAAGTAGTTTAAAGTTACAAGAGGTATTGTTTTATCTGAGTTTTCTAGAGACTAGAACAGTGTGAAATGCCTCATCCCCATCCCTTGTGACATACTCACTCAGGTAACGGCCTTCACAGTAACTCCCACCCAACATCTATACCGCACAGACTTGAGACTCACTGATGGGAGAGTCCAGGGATTGTTTTCCTTGCATAATTTTTTAGATGCCTTCCTGGTTTCTGATAATTTAACCCTTTCAGGTTGGGAGAGAAAACGGACATTTGGATAATACCTGTTTATTTAATCATGGTAGCCAACCAAAGCAAGCATTTTAAGCCAAAAATTCACTCCATCCTTAGCTGGAAGTAGAATTTTAAATTATAATTGACCTCCTGAGAGGAGAAATGCATGACCTTCCACAGAGAAAAGCTGAGCACTAAGGAGACAGTCTTTAGGTCACAGGCACTATAATCACTATCATAGTAAGAAATTATAAAATAATTCTCATTTTAAAATCTGATATAACTTACCATGTATTATTTCACACTCCTTTGCTTGCTTTTTACTGGTTTGTGGCTACTTGCACACAACAGTGAACTTTCAAAGAAACTGAAATTACAAAAGGACAATTATTTAACGAAGGAAGTATAAACCATTGCACTGGGGGACTGAAAGACATTTATTAAAGTTCTCATATTATCTGTTTAATTACGTGTTTCTATGTAGTGAGTAATGTCTTATATTCTTGCCAAGAATATTTTAAAGGAGTTTGTTAAAAGTGTGTCAGCTACATCACTTTTGGTGTATCACTGCTAATGGTGTCATTCACACATTGTGAAACACACAGCTCCAGTTTAATTCTGCCCAAAAAATTAGGTCATTGCAAAATACCATATTAAAACTGCAGGGAGATGGGGATGAGAACAAAGCAAGGGAAGACTCCCAATTCTTTTTTGTGAAGCATGACAGAAGTGAAGTGAAGTCGCTCAGTAGTGTCTGACTCTTCGCAGCCCGGTAGACTATACAGAGAAGGCAATGGCACCCCACTCGAGCACTCTTGCCTGGAGAATCTCATGGACGGAGGAGCCTGGTGGGCTGCAGTCCATGGGGTCGCTAAGAGTCGGACAGGACTGAGCGACTTCACTTTCATGCACTGGAGAAGGAAATGGCAACCCACTCCACTGTTCTTGCCTGGAGAATCCCAGGGAAGGGGGAGCCTGGTGGGCTGCTGTCTATGGGGTCACACAGAGTCGGACAGGACTGAAGCGACTTAGCAGCAGCAGCAGCAGCAGCAGCAGACTATACAGTCCAAGGAATTCTCCTGGCCAGGATACTGGAGTGGGTAGCCTCTCCCTTCTCTAGGGGATCGTCCCAACCCAGGGATCGAACCGCAGTTACAGGCAGTTTCTTTACCAGCTGAGCCACAAGGGAAGCCCTATCAAAGCATGATAAGAATACGACAAAACAGGGTAGGAACGCTGAGCACTTTTAAACGGATACATTTTTCGTGGCATGCGTATTTTAACTCCAGTTCAATTTAAATGACGAATTAAAAACTGGGCTAACTGGCTGCTCTGCACGGTAGCTGGGGACTGCCCCTACGAGCAAGTTAACCTACTTGTATGGAGATTTGCGATTTCATACGCAAACCATAGTGATTATTGTATTTCAATTTGCCTTTATCTTTTTCCAGTTAGGAAAAGCAAATTAAGCCTTTCTTGTGAAGGCAGTTAATTTATACTTACTATGGTTATTATTAACGTTAATCACAGGAATGGCTCTGTTAGAAGTTACCCACCAAGACTGTCGAATCTATTTTGGTGACTCACGTCCCAGATCTCGTCACCCCAGACGTGGTCCTTGGCTGGGGCGCCCTGAGCCGTTGCGCTGTCCGGGCTCCGTGGGCCGTGGGTCCCAGCTCCTCCCAGACCCACGCGCTGATCTGGCGGAAAGCGAGGCAAGACAGTCATTGTTCTCCCAGGCCCGGGGGAAAGAGCGCGGGCTACTAGCACCTCTCATTTTCGGGCGAAAATTTCCCCAGCTACCGCTCTCTGGGTTTGGGCTGGGTCTCCACAGCGTGACCTTCCCCTGCCTAGAGTGGGACGCTCAGCAAACACATCCACAGTCACCTTTGCGCGCTCCTCCGGAGCCGGCTTGGCACGCAGCGCACCCCAGCGGCCGCCTGGCCTCCTTTCTAGTCCTGGCCACTAGGCTTCCGGAGAGCTCGCCAGTCGCCGCCCCGGCCGCCTCGGAATCTGGAGCCTAGAGAGACTTCCAGAGCCAGTCTCAGACAGACCCCGGGGAAGGCGCGGGGCTGCAGCACCGCCCCGCCCGCCGCACCTGGAAGCGGTGAGGACCGAGAGAGGCGGGGCGCGGCAGGAGGCTGGCCCAGCGCCTGAGCACTCCTCCGAAAGCCGGCCCGACTGAAGCAGGGAGAAGGGGGAGGGTCTCGAGGCGAGTTCTGCTCCTCCGAGTGAAGGACCCCAGCTGGAGTGGAAAACCGGCACCAGCCGACCGCAGAGAGCCGGGCTGATCATGGAGAGGGCCGGCCCCGGCTGCGCGCGGCCGCAACAGCAGTGGGACCAGGACTCGGTCGAAGCGTGGCTGGACGATCACTGGGACTTTACCTTCTCTTACTTTGTTAGGAAAGGCACCAGGTAAGAAGAGGAGCCACGAAGACCCGGCCGGGGCATGGAGCGTGACCTGGGGCTTCTCTCTCTTCCCTATTGAACTCCCTTCCTTGAGCATTAAACAGCCTCCACTCTCAGGCCCTGTGCTTTTGAAGTAGGGCCATGATCTTACGGTGTAGAGACCTCGACTTCTAAGGCGAGTACAGCCGAAAAATCCAAGCGTCGGACCCGATCCAACTTGCTCACAAAAGTTCAAATACAAAAATGTATGTGCCGAGCCCCCACCCCCACCCCCCCTACACGCCGGCAGTCCTGGTATTCCCTGGGAGCAAGATTATTTCCATATATTTGCGCTCAAGGGCCTTTCTCTAGCCTCCTGGTTCCCCTAAATCTCCTTAGCGAAACCAAAACAGTGTTTGACCCCCTTCCCTGCAGCTCCGGAAGCACCATTTCCAACGCGGTCCCCGTGGCTCCGCTCCTCCCCCGTCCCCCTTTGCCCCGGCCCTGGCGGGGCGGGGAAGCCGGGGTAAGGGCGAGATCGAGAAGCAGCCCAAAGGCAGCACCATGCCGGAGCCTTCCCAGAGTGAGTGCTGTCGTCTTTTACCCCTTCCAGTCCCCTGGTTGTCCCGCGCTCGTCCTCTCCTTCGCGTTTGCACGCGAGGCGGCGGCGTGGAAGGCGCTCCGCGGAGGGGCTGGCGGCGCGCTCACAAAGGACGGCGGAGAGCTGACCCCGGGGGGTGGCAGGTCCCGCGCGGCCCGAGGCGACCCCGGAGGCCGGTCTTCCTGGTCCGGAGCCAAGCGCCGGGGCGGCTGCTGCGGAAGGCGGGGAGGAGGGAGCCTGTGCTTTGGGCTGCGCGGCTGACAGTCGAGGCGCGCGTGGGAACCGCCCGCGGGAGAGTTGGAGAGGCATTGAGGCTGAAGCCGAGGGGCTAGGAGGGTGGAACGAAAAGTGGGAGGCTGGCGGGTGCCCGGAAGCCGGAGAGTTGATGCGAAGCCGCAGCCAGGGCAAGGCTGCTGCGCGTGGACGCGGGCTGACTCCCAGGCGCACTCCTTTGGAGAAGGGGCCCGGACTTCGCCGTCGCCGGCTCGGGGCAGCGGCCTTCGGGCAGCCGGAGCTGGCCGCCTCGGCCGGGAGGAAGGCGCACGCGGGGCGGTGATGGTGGAGGAGCCGGCCGGGGCTGGCCGCCGGGCTCCCACCCGCCGGCGCACAGCCGCGGTCCGGCCTGGCGCTCCCCGCCAGGGGGCGGCGCGGCGCGGGGCGAGCGGGCGGCGGCGGGCGGCGGCGCGACGGCGGGGACCGTAGGGAAGCCGGCTTCGAGCGACCCGCCTCACCTGGGCGAGTCGTCGTCCCCCGACGCCTCCTGTAGTCCAGGGTGCGCCGAGGCCGCCTGGTGTGCACCTCCAACTTCCCACGTTTGCTATGTTGCCTTTTGGAGACAAAACAAGGTACTTCCTTCAGCACTTCCCCCGTCTTTCCCACTTTTCCCGGGGGGGCGCGCTGGGGCCGGGTGCTGTGCTGGCTGGTGGCACCCGGGTCGCACTGGCTGGGAGATGCTCTATTGAAATTGCGTTCTTTGACATTTTTGTCTTCGTTTACATTCCTGCAGATGTAATAATTTTGAAATAGATGAGTCTTTTAAACTCCGTTTCTCCCAACGAAGTTTCAGGGTTGGTATCGGTTTGATGACTTTGGGGGTTTTTAACAGGCGAAGGTTTGGGGACAAACCTTATCTCTTCTGTTTGATTACTCCGCCTTCCTTTTAAAATCCTCTTCTCCCCGCTTTCGTCTTCTATCACAATACTTAATCTGGAGTGACCAGAGGATAAACCCTGAATGGAAGTGGTTTCTTTCCGAAGGGCACTTTTCTGTGAGTTTGGGGTGAGCACCAAGACCGTCCAGGCCTGGAATTATCCATTGCTGGAGGCCAACAGTTTCCAGAGGTCGCCTCCTCCGAGGCCGTCTGTCCCCGGATTCCTTTCACCGTTTGCACTTAGACACTTAATGAATTACAGCGCCTAAGAGACTGGGCAGTAGATCTGGGCTGATCTTTTAAGTGTGAAGGGGGATGTTCTTTAGAGATGTTCCTTAGGCATATTATTAAGAAAGGACGAAATTATTTATTTAAAAATCAGAGTTAATATCCTTTTGTTTTGTTTTGTTTTCTTTCCTCTCCCTTTAAAGACACAAACTTGGGGGTGTTTGGCGGTAGCTTTTAACTCATGCATAAGAATTCTTCACTTTGAGAATCTGCCAAAACTTGAAGAGTAATATCTTTTCCTAATAAATTAAATGAATTAAGTTACATTTCTTTTCACATTTTTTCCTCCGAAGTAGCATAGGATTAAAATCTCAATTCTCAAAATTACACTACTTAGTGTAAAATTTAGATCATCTGAGACTGTTAAAGACTTTTTCTTCAGTTGGAGTTTTTATATTACAGTTGATGTTGAGAGTAGGCTGAACACTTTCTGTGATGTGTGTGTGTGTGTGTATATATAATCTTGAGAGAAGAGTCTGTTGAATAGAAGTTGGAAAACGAAAGTGAAGATATTCAAGAATAGTGCAGGCCCCCAGTTTTAGGAATTATAAAGTGCTGAAAGTTGTCAGTGTGAAGAATATAATCTAAGTCTTGTGTGTAGCCATAAGTTTTTCTAGAAACAATATTCCAGTTTGGGCTTATATTTGATAGCATTAGCTGGAGTACTTAAAATTTTAAGAATGAGAGGTTGGACATAAAAATGCCAACCTGCTAAACACCATGTGATTCACATGGTTGTGGTAAAATCTTATTGCAGACACTAACTTTACAGCTGAGTTGTGTGTGTGTGTGTGTTTAACCAGAAGCTCGTGTTACTTTGCTACCCCCCTTTCTTAAATTTTGTATGTATAAAATGAATACTGTTGTAATTTAGGAAACTTGTGAAATAGAATAGTTCTGTAGGGGCGGTTTGCATGTTTATTTATTTAAAATAAATTTGGATTTACTTAGATTGGCCATCTGCATCTGTAGACAGACTTGTTGGTAGAACTATTTCCTCCTTATTTGATTTAATTGTTTGACATTTATGTATGCTTCTCTGTTCTTTTCCCAGACTGAATGGTCTGCACCCAATAGTAGTCATTGAATAGAAGGAAGGTTCTGGCACTCCTAAACTCTCATTTAAACACCTGTGAATTTTGATTGACCTGGAAAGCAATTATTGCTGCTATATTACATTGTTTTCTATAATAATCTTTCAATACAGAGCTAAACACCTCCTTAGAAGCCAGAGCATGCAGCACACAAATAAATGGTTTTTAGCAGTTGAAGTGAATTTGAAAGTGTCAGTTGAACAATTAATAACATAATCTATTGGCATAAAAATTAGTTTGCGACTAGAAACTAACACCTGTGGAAAACTCCCACCCTTGCTGTTGTAGAAAACTTTGCAGTCCTACAGGTTTGAGATACTTTGTTCATTAAGGGCTTAAATGCTCCTGCCTTTGCAGATGAAGCCTTTCTGATGCTAATGCCATTTTAACAGCTGTTGTTATTCTTGACAGCATATTAGAATAATTTACCTTTCAATAGTTACTTACCGGCTCTGTGATTGTGGGCAGTGTTTTATGTCATTTAGTGTTGACGAGGTAATATGATTGACTTTTTATTACTTTGTTTTGTACTAGACAAAAGCTTGAGAATATTTGGCATATACTGGAAATAGGAGATATTAAGTGAGGGCAACTTTTTATGACTTCTTGGATCAAAGTCCAGAAACAGAAGTTTTACACTCCCATGCAGTTTTCTATGATAGACTTTTTATTTAACACTGCAAAGCTGTGGTGAATTAGTTGGTGTTCCAAGTTCACTGTTTAGGATTCTTTCTTTTTTGTTTGCTTGTTTTTAATATTTTTTTTAATCTCTTGAAGCTGTAATTATTATTTGCAAAATATTTTTCTTAAAGTCAGATGATGGGTATAAACTAAATATTGCTATTCACTCTTTAAAATGATAATTTCTATATCATATAGGAATATAAACTTTTCACAATTTTCAGACAAACATTTTGTTAAACATATTTTGTTATGTAGTCATTAGGGTTGAAGACAATAAAATCCTGTGGGTTTTGACTTAGTCGGGCTTTGATATTATTTCTAATATTTTTATTACGGTAATTCTGGTGTGATAATGTCCTTTTATCCTTGTATTGCTTATAACCAGGGTTCTTATAGCCAGCTCTAAGTCACTTTTTAGTGCCCTAAAAGTTCTCATGTGGATTGAATTTGGATGTGATTAAATCTAGAAGAATCTGCAAGAACCCCTGAAATGATGCTTCTCATTGCTCTTCTGTCACTAATGTTCTCAAGGTTTTATATTTAGTTCCATTTTTAAAGCCCCCCAATACAAGATCATGATTCCTAAAACTGTGATAGAACCAGTGCAGTGGCAGTTAGTCATAAATATCTCAAAATAAATATATTTGTTTAATATTAATATAATACTTAGGTTTGTAATACATTTCATTAGCTATTTTTCAGTTTGTGATCTAAAAATCTATAGAAATTGCTAATATTTTCATGAAGTCATCTTCAATACCTAAAGATGAGCAACTTTTAGCATTTTGATTATGTTGTGCAACAGAATTTCCTATTTAGATAGTTCCACCTAAAGAAATGACTTGAGTCTTGTCTCTGATATCATTTCTTTTAAAATATTTGAAGGTGTTTTCAAGTTGTATGGATAGAGTTTGTACCGTCACCCTTACCTGATTACAGAGAGTATGTCTTACCAAGATGCTTTGCTTCCTCTAGGTTTGAAGACACAATTTAACTTAAAACTGCTAGAACTTCATAGTACATTTTAATAATGGTTGGGAGAAAGTTCTTTCATACTTAAAAAGGCTGGGGGAAAAAACTGCTTGCTGTTTATTAGTTTGTCCCAAATATTTTTCAAACAGTTTGTTAAACCTGTAACTGTTGTATTGAGTTGTTTTCTTTCTTTGTTTTCAGGGCTAAGTGTAGGATAAAAGCTCTTCTTAGGATAAAA